GAGTTTAGCAAGGTAGCTGCCCGACATTCGCAGCACTGCTTTTCTCCCTCTCGATTTCATTAGACTGTATTTAGCACATTTTTTATTCTAGTTGTATTCGGACCTTAGTAGATGCTCATGACTAGTGACACCCCGATGTCGGGCTGTGTTGGTTTTTTATTTCCACAAATTATATTGTTAAATGCTCATTTTGGGATTTTATTTCTGATTAAAGACTTAGTAGTTATTGTTTTAGTTGTTTAAAGTGAATTGGAGGTGTGTCGGCTGGCCTTGTCTTCACGAGAGGCGCCATCACGACCGGGTTGGGATTTAGGGTTGTGACAAATAATCATCACACATGTAACCATCTCATAGATGCATCTTATGTGGTATACATGACAGGTGAATTGGCCCATATTCACCTTTGATATTTCCAGCATTCATGGGATTCAATCCCAGTTTTAGTTGGTCTATTGATTAATAAGAACAAGCAACATAAGAGAATTCGTAAAGAACTTTCTAGTTCCTTAATATTTACCCATGTGGATTCTCCTTTATTTTTGCAAATCATACTTAAATTGATATGGCTAAACCAATTATGCCAACTGAATAAATTTTCAATATTGATAAAGTTTAGGTTACACCATGAAGTGTGCAATTATCAATAAACTCCAAGTTTATTATGATATGGGTTTTTATATCAATAAACATCCATTTTATTGTGGTATTCTTTTATTTGTGTAGTACAAACTGGAGAATAAAGCGGGTAACTTTTCACATACATATTACCCTGCAAATTGTAGTAATAGAAGATATTAAATCTTTCCTTTATTTATAATCTCAATATAATCAACCGCTTTCGTGAATACATTAGAAACTCAATTAAGTTTCTTTGAGACTTACTACAACACAATGCTGTATTGATAATCAATTTTATTCCTCCAAAAGAGTAATAACTAGCTCTTCCAGAGCTCTCAATTAATTTGGTACTACCACATATTCATCAACATCCATATGGTGAATATCTCTTTTAAAGAGAAAGTTATACCATTATGGTCATGATCAGAATTCTATACAAGATTTGTTCCTTGCATTACTGTTGCCTTTTAATAATCACATCGCCAAAATATTTTGGCGTACGATAGGTACGTGACCAATGTCCATTCATGTCATAATAATGATATTATTTTCTTATATCATCTCAAGCCTCCTTTTAGAGGTGAGTGTGGCATATTAACTACCACTAGCACGTTTTACTCTTCAAGAATGAATATGTGTTCATAAATCACATGTTGCCACATTCACATCATGAATGGACCATAATCATCTATATGTGCTTTGCAAAATATCATGTAAAATCGTTGACAAACATTACTTTCACAGAGTGAAAGATTATTTTGAGAATCCTTATTATTCTCATTACTACAATAATGATGATTATAATTTCGTCTATTACCACGTTCACATTCATTGATACCTTTACGGTAATAATTTTGTCTTTTTTTAGACTTATTACATACTGATATCACATTCTCTTAAGGGAATGAGAATGAAGCAAATTCAATTGGACGGGTTTCTACTTCTTTGCCCGCAATCATACATGAATTTGATCATGGCAAGACATAGAAATTTTACCACTTCGGGTGGTTATAATTTCTCACAAACTCTATTAGAGTTATAATCAAAGTTTATTGTCTTTGCTTGTATTTAAAATCAAATTATGGAATAAAAGAGAAAAATACGGTAAAACACTTACCTTAAATCCAGAATTTAATCATGAAGGAAGTTCATGGAACAATTGACAATCATTATGCTCAATCCCAGAGCTTCTACTCAATTGGTTAGAGTCTCGTGCTGATAACGTGTTAAAAACAATAAAAGAAGTAAAGAAGCGTATTGCGGAGAAAAGTAGGGAGAGAGAATTCTTATTGATTTTGAGATGAATTACAACGGAATATGACTCCTCTATTCATAGGGAAAGAGTGACTTAGCCACCAAGTAAAATCCCTACAATCTCTCTAAAATATAGACATTCACCATAAATAAAATAATATTTGTAACACAATTGATATTGTATTTTATTTTGTACTATTTTTTGTTAACAGTTTTTGCACTAACTTTAAGAAAGACCTTAATCGCCTCATTAGAATTTATTTAAATTATTAAGGGAAATTTCACATTAGAACAACTGGGCTCCCTACTTTTCAATTTTATAGCCTATATTTCAATTTACAACCAACTAGCCCAAAAATAATAGGCAAATACTCAATATTCAACTCCAATAAGTTCTCGAAATTACTAGTTAATTTTTAAAAAAGATTGCTCGGGCTTTTAAGTTAATTTTCGAATTAGTAACTGTGACTCAATTATTAGTTCAACAAACCAAATCCATTTGGGTGGTGAAAATTAGATTTTTAACAAGCTTAAATATGTGAATTTAAATTTCGAATTTGATTTTGTGAAAAATTTGGAGTGAGTGTTATTTAGGCTTGTTAGAAATAGTATAAAGAGGTTGTATATAAAATTTGAAGTCATTTAATGGAGATTTGGACTGGTTTTGAAAAGAATTGCAACTGAAAATCATGGAAGAAGTTCATCTACAAGCGCTTGTATAAAGGTGTATAAAAGTGTATAATAGTGTATAAGATGAGCTTATACACTCATATACACTATTATACAAGATTATACATAATTATACAAAAAACTGACTTCGTCTTCTTCCTTGCGTCTTTTTTGAAATTTAACTCAAATCTTGCTCAAATCTACTCCAAATCACTTCAAATTTAAATTTTGAACTCCTTTTGATATTTTCAATCAATTGGAACAACACCCAATCCAAGCAACTAACAAACTCAAAAAATCTTATTTTCGAAAGCAAAGCTTTGAATGACCTTCAATGGTGGATTTCTACTTTTTAATTTTCTTACATTGCAATCAGGTGACACAGGGAGAGAAGCAGTAATGGCGGACGGCCCATTGACGCATATGTAGAAGATGTGAGAAGAAGAGAGAGTGAAAGCAATGGTTGTGAGAACACAGATTTAACTCCATTACTTTTAGAAGCAATGGTTGTAAGAATACAGATTTTGAATTTGCTAGTGCTTTCAAAAGATGTACAATATGGGCTAGGTCAATTAAAACTTAAAAACATGGGACATTTTTTTTTATGGTGTGAAGTCATGTGTATTTTCTTATAATTCTCTCAATTATTAATTGTCTCTCTTTACACGTCTCACTTAATCAGCAATACAATATATAAGGGTATATTTGAATAATAATAATAATAATAATAATGTCCCGAAGGGACGGCCCAGTTGAGGTTTGGAGGGAGTTGTCCACACGGGCGACGCGGGTTCGATCCTCCCTCAATGCCCTCTGGGTCTGAGCCTGTCGCACGGGGCTTGCTTAGTGCGGTTTACATCCCCTGTGTGGTTTGCAGGCTATTACACAGTGGGGGGTTTACCCAGTGCACACAGAATGCTCACCCGAAGGGCAGAGGTTGTGGCAGAGGCTGTAGCGGCTGCGGGTTTTTCTGGGGTTCCAAAAAAAATAATAATAATAATAATAATGAATAAACTCTGTATAATTCCACAAGTGAGTCTGGAAAGGGTATTTTGTACGCAAACCTTATCCCCTACCTTGTGGAGATAAAGAGGCAGCGCCCGACCGACTCTCGACTTAGGAAAATCATAGTCACACATAGTATAATAGAAATATAGTAATATGGAATCCATGGAAAGAAAAAAAAAATAGTAACAAGAAGCAGTAACAATAGCATGATAATAAGATACTCGAAGCAAAAGAGATAGTATATAGTAATAGAGATCTAAGTATAAGATAATCCGCGAATAATAATGATACTACAAGTATGAAAAAGGAAAAGCTCGACTCTAATGTTCTATCCTAATTCTCGACCTACATATTCTCCTATCAAGGGTGATGTACTCGGTAAGCTGCAGATATATCATGTTCGCCTTCTCACATCTCCCCAATACTTCTTTGCATAGGTGTGTTGCATCCTCGTCAATCTCCCCATTAACTAGGATTATAGACTCAAGAAACTTGAAACTTCCTCTCTTAGGGATGACTTGAGTATCAAGCCTCACTTCCACTTCAGCTTCATGAGTCACGTCACTGAACTTGCACTTCAAATATTTTGTCTTAGTCCTGCTCGACCTGAAATCCTTGGACTCCAGTGTTAATACTGTATCGTATCTCGTCAATCAATACTATGTCATTTGCAAATAGCATGTACCGATGACCGATGCACCTCCCCTTGAATGTATCGCGTCAATTCATCCATCACTAAGGCGAATAAGAACGGGCTAAGAGTTGATTCCTAGTGCAATCCCATCATGAATGGAAAGTGATCCGAATCTCCTCCTACTATCCTACCTAACCTGGGTCGTGGCTTCATCGTACATGTCCTTAATCACCCTAGTATATGCTATAAGTATACCTCTAGCCTCCAAACATCCATAGGACCTCTTTTGGGACTTTGTCGTATACTTTTTCTAGGTCAATAATAATAATAATAATAATAATAATAATAATAATAATAATAATAATAATTTTTTCTCTTTTCTTCCCCTTCAAAACGCCAAATATTTGAAACAAAATAAGTTTGATTGTCAAAACGACTAGTACATAGGAGTCAAGGGAGTAATGTTGAGCTAAGCCAGCGCAAAAAATGCTAGCCCTTAACATGTGAAATTGTTTGCTTGGAATCAAACCTCCGCGATTTTCCCCAAATGATAACCATACCAATTAGATGTCCCTACAACATATATGTAGCTTCTTTTTTTTTTATTTTATTAATTTTTACGCCAGACTTTGTTCACATATGTAATAGAGATTATTTAAATATTGTTACATATGTATATATGGTCTTATGTAGTGAAATCAACCCCTGTTTATCCACTCATCATAACAGGATCGCCCATATCAATTACTACTTAGAAGGCGAAATTAAACAAATTTAAAAACATCATCTAACCTCAAAAAGGTATTTGTTTCTCATGTGTATTGGTGCTCAATATAAGTTTTCATACAAGACAAGCAAATTGAGTTAATATACAAAAGGAGAAAATGCAATCACAATGGACATTTCAAGTGCTACTAGATACACTCTCAGAAAAATAAGAGGAAAATGCAAAAAACAAGAAAAAGAGAAGAAAAAGAAATAACAACATGAATCTAAATTGACAAAATTTGCAGAGTAATTGTGAATATGTAAAAATTGGATCAATATTTGATGACTTAATCAGAAAATGTCTAGAATTTCCAATATGAAATTGTTGCAAAGTGGGCAATTACCTCCTTCAACCCAAAGTTCCCTTGAACATAACCTGCAAAATGAATGTCCACAAGGTACAAATGCTGCACCCTTATGTCTAACCATGCAAACACAACAACTATTATTTTCTCCACCTCCGACGTCACCACCACCGTCATCCTCATCCTCGTCCTCGTCCTCTCCCATCATATACGACGATCCCTCAGACTCTGCTAACAACGCCATCAACGACATTCTCACTGGCTCCTCTCCTTCTTTCGATGTTTCCTCCCCTTCTTCCGCACTCTCCTCCTCATACTCGTCATCATTTTCAACATTTGATCCTCTCATTGACATTGACGGGTCAAACCTTGCACTCGCGCTTCCTCTCTGAGCTCGACTTGAATTTCTATTCAATGTTCTGCTTCTGGTGCCTGGATCCATCCCTCTTCTCGATCCAGATAATGGCGATTGGCCGAATTCGTTTACTATGTCATCCGGGTACGTGGCATCCTTGGATGAAGGAAAACGAGCAGAAAGCCTACGAGACATTGTCCGATTGTTACCTTGTTGAATTGGAATGTCTGAAGCAGGAACAGGCGTTGTTGTAATCGAATCCATTTTAGCTTATCGCTACACCTTTTCTCTTGTCACTCAACACGATGTCTAAAAAAGGCTTGTGTAGAATTGTTGTCGTTATTGTCGTTGTTGTTTTTTGGACTCTGGAAAATCTCAAAGATTGGGAAAATTGACTAAATCGTCACTAATATTTTGGTCGCCATCAACACTTCCCGTCCACAATTAGGGACCATTTGTGAAATTTCCTACAAAATGAAAATGGGATGAGAGTTTTGGCAGGGAATTCAAAAGCCTGAGAATTGAAACTAAAAATATTGTAAATTTTTCTTAGGTAGGGGCGGATCTAGTGTAAGAAAATTGATCAATATATACATATACAATTGAAAACATTGAAATAATCAAATCTAATTCGTGATGAGATTTGAAATTTTGGGAATTTAAAACAAAGTTTTTTTTAGAGATGAGAAATCTTAAGAGAACTCAAACTAAAAATGCAAGGGAAAAAAATGAAAAAAAGAAAAAAGAAAAGCAAGAATTGTGAATCGAAATGTTACATATGATCTATAAAATTAGGGAATATTTTCATGCAGAAAAATAACATCCGAGATTTGTAAACAGACTTGAAAATTCATTTACAAAAGGATTAGAAAGGTGTAAGAAAGCATACATGGGAAGGAATCAAATTTGTGAATCAATGAATCAAACAAAGCTAAATCAATGAAGAAAAAAGGTATTAAAGGGTAAAATACACACAATTTACAAAGGGAGAGAGAAGAGGAAGGAAAGTGAAACAAAAAGGTTCGTTCCCCGCCACTCTCTCTCACTCTCTCACTCACTCCCGGCCATAAAATGGGTGAAATTTTTTTTTTTTTTAATTTTACGTAAAAATTAAACTTTCTCTACCTTTTAGTTATTATAAGTATTTTTTGACTTATCTATCTATTGATTGACGTTTTATAAAATTATTTATTGTTATTTTGCCAACTTCATTAGATTTGTAATTTTTTAGTATTATGATTTCTTCTTCTTTTTTCATATGTATTATATCATTATGACTTTATTTATCAAAGTGAATGTCATTTACAATAAGAAAGTAACAAATAGTAACCAAACATGCTTGGTAATAACTTTGAGAAATAAAAAATTATGGATATAAAAAATAAAAATATATAAATGAATTTTTATTGCTCCTAATCAATAATTTTATTAATGGTAATTAAACTTAATAAATCTCTATATAGAAAGTATATTAATAAATCTATACACACAAATTAAAAATAGAAGATGATGATTCAAATACTGAATGTACCTTATTCTTAAGAAATCAAATGTTAAAAATAGCAATGAATTTTGCAGTAATTAAATTCCAAAAAAAACTTCTTTATTTATAGCGTGGATGAACTTAAAATCACAATTTCACGATACTTCTCTTTCGTCCAGATATCTCTATATCCTTTGTAGAGCCCCATATTTGCTTTCTTTTAAAATCTTAAGGTCGTGGAAGACCTTTTTATGTATGTAGAATAAGATGCCACAAATTATATAGATGAAGCATTTGAGGTAATTAAATTTAGATTAGTTTACATTAGAACAAGTCTTTAATTTATATACAGCGAAAAGGGTTTAATTTGCCCATGTACTATTCAAAATTAAGCAATTTCGTCCACCATTAAATTATTAATCTAATATACCCCCAATATTAGGAAACAATCTCGTGTTTGCCCTTGACCCCTAACAGATATTTAACCTGAGGGGTAATTTTAAGGGATCTTTATACACCTCTTAAGGCACCTGGACATGATGGTTTGCATCCTTATTTCTATCAACGTTATTGGAATACTATTGGTAATTCAGTCAAGTCTTTTTGTCACACCGCTTTCAACACTCATAAAATAGACCCTTCCATCAATTAGACTTTCATTTGTTTAATACCCAAAAATACACATGCTTCCACTATTTACCAATATAGACCAATTAGTCTTTGTAACACTATTTATAAAATCATCACTAAGATCATTGCCTACCGACTGAAACCTCTACTACAACATTTAATACATCCAACTCAGTCTAGTTTTCAAAAGAATAGAAGGGTTGCGGACAATGCTATTATACTGCAAGAAATTCTTACTAGGTTCCAAAATGAAAGGAAATAAGGTCAATATGCTTCTTAAATTGGACCTAGAGAAAGCCTTTGATAAATTAGAATGGTCGTTTATCCATTACTCTTTTTGTGCTTTAAATTTCCCAACTGCATTCATAAATCTTATTATGTCTTGTATTACAACTAGTAGTATTTCAATTCTCATCAATGGAAATCCTACTGAATTTTTTCAACCCACAAGGGGAATTAGACAAGGAGATCCACTATCCCCTTATTTATTTATCATATGCTTAGAAATGCTTTCTCGCAAGATAAATACATCGGTGGATTATTGTCATTGGTCACCTGTTACATTAGGTTGTCAGGGACCCCATTTGTCCCATCTATTTTTTGCAGATGACATTATACTTAAATCAAAAATTAGTGCTACTTCTTGTCAAGCTATGTTTAATACACTTGCTCAGTTTACAAGCTCTTCGGGTCAAACAATAAACTTTGATAAATCAAAGATATTTTTCTCTAAAAACTGCTCTACCAATATTAGAAATACTATCCTCCAAATATTTCATATGAATGAGGGCAAATCTTTTGAAAAGTACTTAGGTTTTCTAATTTTTACAAATAAACCTACTAAAATGGATTACCAGTTTTTAATCGAAAATTTTAAAAATAAACTGGCTGGATGGAAAATAAATTTTTTAACTAAAGCAGGACGAACTACTTTAATACGTTCTACTTTAAATTCTCTACCAAACCATGTTATGCAATATCTTAAACTTCCTTCAAATATTATTGCATTCCTAAATAGGTACCAACGGAATTTTCTTTGGGGTACCACAATTACTAAGAAAAGACTTCATCTTATAAAATGGGATACCATCACCCAACCTTTGGATAAAGGAGGACTANCCAAATGCCGCAACACTACCGAAGTATTATCAGTTTACATCATATTGCCCTTTTAGTGGAACATATACCCCCGTCGAATCACTATGGTTGGCAATACCATTTTCCTTAATCATTTGAAGATCGATTCTTTAATCACCTGCAGCTGCCCGTGCTGCTTAAGAATTTAATGACTTTCCATTATGAACAGAACCGTAACCTTACACACACAAATCCCAATCCTCCACCACATATCGCATATACCATACCACACTAGTATAACATGAGAACTCCATCTCCCTTCCTAACCACAAACATCTACGTACTCCACTAGTCAAGAACTCTCCATCAATCCCATCAAGAAGAGAAATCATTACACATTCCATGCTTCGCATGCCCATAGGCAATTTATACGTCTCTAAACCACGGTAAAACTTATCAAGAACTCTCCCCCAATTCCATTGCACAAGCTAAACTGCCAGGACTGAATCCTTCTCCCCGAACCAAGCTAAGCAAGCTGTCAGAACTCAAGAGCCTTGCTGCACAATACCTGTAAAAGCCCATTACCTCGAACACATACGAAGAATTAATCACATCCTTACCATACCGATTCGGTCTACTATCAAGCTATTCCATCTATCTAATTTCCCTTTTTGATTCATCATCCACTTGATATTTCTCCCTCGCTGTAGCATCACAATGCCTCAATCCAAGCTTACCACACGAGACTCGAACATAAGACCACACTGTCTAAGACCCATAGGCCACTGAATACTCTCTCAATTGTTTCCCAGAAATACCACATTCCAGAATACTTCACTCTGAGAACTTTCTGCGAATCTAAATTCGCTTCCTTTACTTTCTAGGTATCGACGCATAGGATCCCATGATCAACATAAAAATACCACAAGTCTTGACATTTTCTATCGAAAACACTGTCTTTATTCACATACACCACCTTAAAACACCTGAGTGCTACATGTAGATTCTTGAACACATTAAAACCATTCTCGAGAGTCATTCTCTCTTATTCATCTGCAAATTACCTGATTTAACGAACAGAACCACTCGTGCTTTATTGACACTCCGATACCGTAAAATGAGACCCTCATCCCAATACAACCAAGCAACTTCCTGCTCTATGCACCGAGCATTCTCTACCAACAACAACTCTAGACATTCCGAAATTCTCATACCCTATGGAACATAATATAACCTTTGTCGAAATTTTGCTTCACTCGCCCATCCTTGGCTCAATTTCTGCAACTAGAACCGATTCGCCAGCATACCTCGAGACGTAACCAACATAGCACATAACCGTGCAATCAGCTAATCAACAGCAACCTCCCCAACTTGGCTCGAAGCCATATATCAAGACACACTTAACAACTCATAACACTTTTACTCTAATGATGCCACAATGTCATAGTGAGATTAAACTCAAATGATCTACAAGTTTGTGAAAACACAGATCATCTAGTACTGAAATCCTCTACAACCCTCGCATTTATCCCCACATCAACCGAGTCTACTCTCTTAAGCGACCCGATTTTTTTTAAATTTCAACACATACCCTTCAATTACACATGAGATCTTCTAATATACACGTAAGGACCATACCACTCAAGAACACTCCGCAGGAGATGACCCCTGCTTCGCCTCAATTTAGTACTTCAGCATACCTTTCACCATCATATACGTTACACAGTCATTAGTCTTCCTGATTCCGAACTCATACCGCCGCATGTAATGCACTTCACTTCCCAACTAGCGCCCATAATTCGGGCTACATATCAATCCACAATAGGAGTCGAATCACTTAACAGTTCATCTATTATCCTGCAGACTTCTTCGTCACTACCAAGTCATATAATTACATCTCGCAGTACTAACATACTCATCACATGAATACCAAACCGCCATTCTGGCTAATAGGGGCAATACTGAACATATAAGTTCAAAACACTTGCTCACACAATCAGCACCTCGGTGCTCAAGCCATAGGCAAGGATCCGGCCTTAAGTCCTCCAGACTGGCCCAACATACTCACGAAGATTACATCTCGCCCCTCGATCGGGGAATCACAAACCATCAAGGCACATATAATACTGAGCGCTCACGTGCGCATACAGATGTGTGGAAGGAATTTCAAGAGTTATATCTCAAGCTGAATCAAGTACGCACGATAAGAATTCCAAGAATGGGAAGTTCTCCTAAAGGTTCTGCAGCCTCTCGAGGATAAATACAGACGTCCCGTACCGATCCGCGAGACTCTACTAAACCTGCTCATGACTCGTGAGACCCAGTAACCTAGGCTCTGATACCAACTTGTCACGACCCAATTCCCATACCCGGTCGTGATGGCGCCTCTCGTGAAGACAAGGCCAACCAACTAACCCAAATCCTTTCACTAACAATTATTAAACATAAATGAATATAAGATACAAGTTAATGGCATTAGAAATTGTTAATTACTACCCGACCGAGGTGTCACAAGTCACGAGCATCTAAGAAAACCTTAACACAACTACAGGCCAATAAATATATACAAGTAAAATTTCTGGAAAACAAAAGACAACATCCGGTGCCGCGAACGCTGGCGGTCACCTTGCTCAGCTACAATAACAATACCTTCAATCCGCTAATAACCCGCTAACCGGGTGAACGATACCTGCAGCTGCACGCGAGGTGCAGGGAGTAAAGTGAGTACTTCCAACTCAGTGAGTAATAAACATATATAATGGCTGAAAGTAAGAAATTCCGAAAT